ACAATAATTCTTCAATTATAATGTATAATACTTTCTCGTATGGGGCTAAATTACAAATTTCTTTTACAAAGTACACTTTTAAATTCTATCATCCTCCAACATTTAATTTAATAACTTACAAAAATGTATTCATCCATTCTTTGTATTCTCTACTTATTCTTTAGTTCTTCACATTTATTCCATTTATATACTTACTGACGTACGCTTGTTACCCCACATGGAGGAGCATAGGCTGCCTACCAGTACTCTTCCTCTAACTCAGCCTTGGATAATCTTTCCTACTTGAAGTTGTCGAACGCATGCTCAACCGTTCTTCGTTACCCGAGCTTGAGACTAGCAATAGTTCATTTTTTTTCCCTAAAATTTGAATAACATTAGAACAACCGAATTTGTAATGTAACTGTGAATAAACATTTTAGGATCAATCACTATGTTAAGTAAGAAAAAAGTAATCCAGTAATCGAATAATTTAATTAATCGGAATTGGTTGGAGAATGCTGGTCGGCGGCTTATGCTCCAGTAGGAGTAAGAGGAGTAAGTAAGTAAGTAATTAATTAATTTATATGACCTGGATAGTGGATAAGGAATCAATGAAAAACATTAAGCGCAGAACAAATAATTTGATCTAGTTTTAAACTCCCTAGAGATAAAATAACCCTAGTGATTAAAGTTTTGTTATAAATGCTACAACTTTAATAAACATGCTATATTACGTAATTATTATTATTATTATTATTATTATTATTATTATTATTCAACATCATGGATTATAACCGTTTGAGTTTACATATTGTGTCAACTTCAGAAATGATCAACTTCTAGGAATTTATGAATGAAAATCAAACAGATATATTCGTAATATAAACCTTTGATCAATCATTATAGTAAATTCAGAATATTTCACTTTTCAAAGAATCATTAAAATCAGAATTTTCATATTGATAAGTCTTCGCATTGAACTTTAGATTCTGTTGCTAAGTTCTTCTCTAATAAAACCCAAGCTAAATTTACACAGCAATATGAATATGAAAGAAAAAACATGAAATATGAAAGAAACACTTTACTTCAAAGATTCATTTATATACAAAAAATTATAGGGTTTTTTTATATAGTAGTTTAGGTGGTGGCTTTGTGCTTCCGGACATAGTAACAGTATAAGTAATCAACTAATCCGTAATGCAACATATGAATTTTCTCTTTATGAAAAATCGTTTCCCACCGATAATAGCAATGCAGCTATACTATTAGATATAATTTAGACTTCTTACCTTCATATTAACTATGAATAACTAAAGTTTGGGTTTATGAGTTTCTTTAAGATGAACTTTGTTATTGTTTAGTGAATGCCTTAGAGTATATATATACAACCATATACATACAGTCTAAATGAGATATGACTGGATTATCACGTTGAATAAATAAAACTATCAGTGTCAGAAGGGGTTTTGTGGAGATTGTAGTAATTTCAACAGTTGAGATCATCAGTCAATTGAGGCTAGACCACCATGGAAAACCTGGAAAGGCCGTTTCGTTCTATTGCGGGACTCCTCAGAAGTGCTCATTCACGACCCCGTCTCACGGGATTTGAACTCAGGATCTATCAGGACCTGTTAGTTGAAGTTAGACAATAACACTGTTGCATGTCGGCTCAGTGGTCTAGTGGGTTAAGCGCCTGACGCGAGATCTATATTGTAATTTTATCACTCCCCATTTGAGTTTGATCTTCTTTCCTAAATAAAATAGAAACTACAAGAATCCCAATCTTTAATCGTAGTTTATACGTTTAAAAGAAATTCGTAACATTATTGTCCCTGCTTTGATCGGACATGACTTAACGAATGATTTCATCAATTTTCAGCCCCTTTTTTTCTCGTCTTTTTTCTGTTTATATTCTTCAGTATCTAATTATTTACAAACTTCTTACTGTGTAATTGTAATAATGTTTTGTGTCTACTAATTTAAATGTGATCAACTTCATATCACTTTGTTCGGTACACTGATCTAATTACTATCAATGTATACTTTTTAATCATGGTCAGGTGGACAGATGCATTCCAAGTAAGGACCGGAGTCAGACAACACCGTATACTCTCTCACTTCCTCTTTCTTCTGGCGGTCGACTGGATTATGAAGATCTCGACATCTGAGGGAGAACACGGAATACAATGGACAGCTCAGAACAAATTTGACGATTTCAGCTTCGCAGATCACCTACACCTCCTATCACATACACATGAACAAATGCAGATAAAGATAGCCAGTGTAGCAGCAGTCTATGCATCAGTAGGCCTCAACATACACAAGGGGAAAACCAACGTCCTCAAATACAACACGGAGAACTCCAACCCCAACACACTTGATGGTCAAACTCTGCGAGATGTAGAATCAATCACATAGCTGGGATGCATCATCGATGAACAAGGAGGATCAGATGCAGACGTAAATGTGAGCATTGGCAAAGCAAGGACCACATTCCTACAATTGAATAACATATGGAACTCAAAACAACTATCTGTCAACCAATATCAAAGACACAATCTTCAATATGAACGTCAAGATAGTTAGTTCTACTGTACGGAGCTGAGACTTGGAGAACTACTACAACCGTCATCAAGAAGGTACAAGTATTTATAAACTGTTTTCTATGCAAGATAATGAATGTCTGTTGGTCGGATACCATCAGTAACAGCCTACTATGCGAGGGAACAAATCACCTTGTAGCTGAAGAGGAAATTAGGAAAAGAGGATGGAAATGGATAGGACATACATTACACAAATCATCAAACTGCATCACGAGGCAAGTGCTAACTTGGAGTGCTGAAGGGAAGCGGAAAAGAGGAAGGCCAAATAACACATTAAGTCGTGAAATAGAATGAGATATGTAAAGGATGAATAACAACTGGAAGGAGCTCGAAAGGACTGCCCAGGACAGGGTTGAATGGCGAATGCATACGCCTCACGAGGCGTGACAGGCGTAAGTAAGTAAGTAAGTAAGTAAATAAGTAAGTAAGTAATCAATGATTGTAATCAGCTGATAATGAAGAAACCATGACAACTTAAGGAATTCATATTATTCTATATGAATATATGTTTTGGCTTTATTGAACTACATAAAGGGGAACTAATTGTATAATATCTAAGTATTAGAATATTATTATTATTATTATTATTATTATTATCAGCTTTATTCAATATTATATTTTTGGTACAATATAGAATTCTCGGCGCAAAGTATTTCAACAAGTTTCCGTTCCTTTCTTCTTGGTCGGTCCTGGCGATAAATATTGAGTGATCGCCAGTTAGATATTAGCAGTCCAGTAAATGAACATCTGAATAATGTGCATTCTTTCAGTTGTATATTGCCACCAACCACATTGTCTCTTATTGAGCTTTTTGTAACTTTGACAACAAAAGGTTGTACACTCTTCAGAAATGCAGCAGAATAGGTTATGCGATTAATAAACATAATGATATATTAAAACAAACAAAAACAGATAACTTGTTGAAATATCTAGATGGCAGGAACAGGTAGCCCAGACGCTCAAGCAGGCCGCCCTAACTAAACAAAATAAGAGCTAATGTGTGTCGAGTAGAAACAGGTGTCTACCTCAGTATAATGGAAGGTGGTCATGCAACCTGGTGGATTGGTTGAGATTAGACATTAACACCATTGGATGCTGACTCAGTGGTCCAGTAGGTTAAGCGTTCGTGCGCGAGACTGAAGGTCCTGGGTTGGAATCCCGAAAGCAGGATCATGGGTGCGCACTGCTGAGAAGTCCCACGATAGGACGAAATGGCCGTCCAGTGATTGCAGGTTTTCAATGGTGGTCTAACATCCATCGGTTCATGATCTCAATCAAAAAAACTTAACAATCGCCACAACCACTAAATCGAAAATAAGAGGAATTCAATTAATATATTTGAAATCAAATTACTAAGATAATCAGTTACAAACAACATTGTTACGTAATGTTAAATATATATAGAGGGAGAGAGAGACAGAGAGGCAGAGAGATAAATCTTGATTTAATTACATGTAAATAATTGAAATATGAAGTGATAATGATTTCAATGTTATTCACACTCACTCACTCACTCACTCATTCACACACACACACACATACACATACATATTCAACAAAGGGATCAGTTGATTAATAACCATGATTGATCAATAATTGAATAGAATTTACTTGAATAATTCAATATATATATATATATATAGATAGATAAACTAAATGATGATTGAATATTTGGGAGATTCGAATTGTTAACCTCAAAAAAAAAAAGAAACAATCATTAGATCATTAGAACTATTCCATTATATAATTGGAAACTCATCATTTATGAAGTGATTGTAATGATTAGAAGAAGAAGAAAAAAAAGAAAGAGAAAGTTAATTTATTCACAAAATATAAATCATTATTTATTGATTAGTGTTATATAATAGATCAATATTTATTACCTAATAATCAATAAAATCAATATATTTATGTATATCAATTTATCAATGATCTATGAATGAGAAATGCTTGAATTATATGTTAAATAGAAAGAAAGAAAGAAAGATAAAATAATAAATGATCATTATGGAAGATCTTCAAGTGATCATTTGATGGATGATGATGATGATGATGATAATAGTTTAACATAAATTATGTACATAAACATTCATTGTTGATAGTATAAATTGAATCCAAAGAATAGTATCCATACAGATTAATTATGAATAAAGATCGATTTATAATAACTAGAATGAAATGCCAAAATGTAGACATATATAGATATGAGAACAATTTGTTGTTGATGTAATGATTAACATGAAATGAAAGAAGATAAAGATGGTCTGATCAGCGAGCATGATGTTGATGATGATGATGGTATGACAATAATGATCCAGATCAATGAAATTGATTCAAGTTGAATAGTTTAACATGGATATTACAAACAGATAAATGAGAAAATATACTGAAGGTCCTTTTTTTTTAAAATTTTTTTTTAGTTAAACTTACATGGATACTAGTTGGTTAGATTTTTTTTTATGTATGTGAAGGGTATTCACAAATATCACTTGTTAACACATACAAATGCAGTAAACATTAAAGAATTCAAAATAAAAGTAAAATTGACATTTAAAAAAAAAGTCAAGTAAATGCTGTAATCAGCTGATTTCCTGATTGATTGATTGATTACACCTTTTAAATGCATATGCATAGATAGATAGATAGATAGATATCTGTATATGTCTATGTATATATAGATAGAGATCTATATATCAAGTGTATTGTATACAATTCAAGTTGACATTTATCCATCTAATCATGATAATCAGTTGACTATTTAAACATTGAATTGATTATTATTATTATTATTGTTATCAATAACTGATTGATCTTTAACGGTTGATGATGTGAATTCATTTAATGATGGTACTACTGTCATGATTCCACCTGAAGTGGTTGAACTAGTTCCAATACTTAGACGAGGTGGAGGTGTGATTTTTGTTTTATTTTGACTATTATTATTATTTTTATTGACAGTATTATTTGATCCATGATTATTATGCATAAAATGTGTCACTAAATCAACTGGTAATGGAAATATAATAGTAGAATTTTTTTCAGCTGATATAGTACTTAATGTTTGAAGATATCTTAATTGAACAGCAAATGGTGATTCTGTAATAACATCGGCAGCTTCTTTCAATGCACGTGATGCTTTCCATTCACCTTCAGCAGCAATAACCTTTATTAGTATTGAAAAGTAAACAAAAAAAAAAATAAAGGAATTAAACGTATTAAGAAGATCAAATGAAACAAGATGTAGAATGTCAGAATGATTCATACACTAATGAAAGAATAAGATACAGATACAATGGAACAGCTAGATTTTCTCCTTATTTCTTCTAATAAAACTCAACCAATTCAGTAAATAAATAAGAACAAATTAACATGAAATTTCTTAGATTCTAGTGAAGAATAAATTACGAGTAAATTCTTAGACCTATTACTGGATTATTATCATCTATATATTGTTATGATATAACTATACAGTAATTACATTATGTATACCCATATTCCTCTTATTATAAGTTTCATTTTGATCCATTATTTACTGACTTACTTACGACTGTTACTCTTCGTGAAGGAGCATAGGCCAACCACCAGCATTCCCCATCCATCCCTGTCCTTGACAATTCTTTCCAGTTCTTTCAACTTGTTATTCATCCTTTTCATATCTGATTCTATTTCCCAACATAATGTGTTATTTAGCCTTCCTCTTTTCCACTTCCCTTGACCATTCGGAGTTAGCACTTGCCTCGTGATACAGTTTGGTGATTTCCTCAATGTGTGGCCTATTTATTTCCATCGTCTTTCCCTAATTTTCTCTTCAGCTAGAAGCTGGTTTGTTCTTTCTTTGTTAAATCGATTGTAGAGTTACATTTAGTTTGAATAGTCGTATCAAGAAGTATCAATGTTTAGAATGTTCTATACAATGATGAAGTCAAATACGAAGCCACTTTGATTCTTAATCATTATCTAACTGAAATCAGTTTATAGTATAAAATATCTTTGAATACTAGTAAAATGTTTTTATAAAAAGATGAGTATTTGGGAAGTTCGAACTTACGAGATTGTTATCTAAACATTTTATCTGACTATTGAGTCGACTTCCAAGAACTAAAACAGAGTCTTCAGAAGCTCTAAAGGAACCGAAAAGTTTGAGTCAATTAGAACATAATGGAGCTTTCTAGGATATCAACATGGCATGATACTATTAGTCAGTAGGATAATATGTCTCTTAGTGGATTGACCGAAATATAATGTTAATATCTAGAAATACCCATGATTTTCTGTAGATTTTCATTCTTACCAAGTAAACAATTCTCCAACTTTTCTTCTGTCTTCTGATTTGCAACAGTGTAGTTCTAACATTCGAGTGTCGTAATTGTAACCCTTATTCCGCGTTAATCAACTGGCGAACTTAACACAAATGAAATCGAAAAATTCAGTCCCATGTAACTTAAGTAACTCAAACAATACCAATAATTGACAAATACTCTATATCACTTCAATTAATGAGTAAATAAACTTGAACTTGATACCTATTTCAATTCATTAATAATAGAGTACTATTAAGATAATAATCATTTTAATCAATATCACGAGATCAGTAACCCTGACAACATATTTTACTAACCTTAGCTCGAGCTTCTCTAGCTGCTTCAGCTTCTGCTGCCATGGCACGTTGTAATTGAACAGGAAGACGTACATCTTTACTAATAGAAAAAGATAGAATAATTAGTATTTGTACAGTAATTCATTTATGAATATATAAACACTAATAAAAAATGAAATAAACCATATTCTAGATTATACATTTTTATGCTTACATATTACTAGCCGATAAATAATTAACAATATGAAACTTATTACATTAAGCCATCAGTATACCATTAAGTTAGTTCATCTATTTACACACATACACCTGTTGTTCCTTTTGTTGCATGGTGCAACGATTACAATTTGCTAATCAACTCTTCTTTCCAGTTCTACAAAACTGCAATTTATTCTCATGACACTATGTGTTTGATGTTCCGTCTGTTTTCCTTTCGCATTGAGGAATCCAATTTAGGACTCACCTCATGTTGCAGTTTAATCAAAGTCCTATATCATTACAGCGTCCTTTTCTAATTCCACATTCAGATAAAAGCTGGTTTGTTCTCTCCTACACTAGGTTGTTGCTGATGATGTCTTGCCTACGGATATGAAGTATCTTATGTAAACAACTGTTAAAAGATACCTGAACAATCTTTGCATTTACATTTGCATGAAATCATCCTTGTTTATCGTTGATGCTGTCTAGTAGGCTTCTGCCATACTGATTATCTTCATCTGTATTTGTTGGTGTATTAAGGATAGAAAATCTAGATCATCTGCAAAGTCTAAATCATCTAATTACATATAAGCTGTCCACTGTATTTTATGCTTTCCTGAAATGTGGTCTTCGTAATCTAGTTAATCACCAGAAGAAAGAGAAAAGATGATAGTAAATAGCCTGATCTGATACTGATCTTCTCTTGGAATGTATTTGTATGGCGTTCACAGTGTATGACATTGCAGTGTAGTTCATCATATGAATTCATAACTTGTACCCGAATTTAAGGACAGTGTTATAAACCGCAGTTGTAATTCAATGTGATTGAAATAATATTTATGCAAAATAATAACTTATTATATGAGTAATATATACACATCTTACTGTTCATAGAAGAATCTTTGGATTATTAAAAGATTTTATATAATTTAAATCAATAATAAGTAGTATATTTGAAAACCATTTGTCGGAAAGAAAACAAATTATTTGGTTGATTTATTTAGATCCATTTATGGACTGATACTAAACGTATATTTCTATTGTATAATTATTAGGTAACTAAACTATGCATATTCATATTCCTCTTATTGTAAGCTTTATTTTGACTCATACACTATGATTATAGGTTTTACCATTCTTGAATTATGCACTGTGTATTAGTCACTGCCTTACACATACACAGCCACATTTGGCTAAATCTTGTATAAATGTTGTTTCCTATTTTATTCGTACGATGTGGTCTGTTTGCTTGGTATATAAACCCAGTATATTTGAAATACATGATTCATATTGCAGAGGCTGAGATTGGCGTTCTGAGCTTAACTGGCTGGGTTAGGCGGAAAGCAGGACCAATAGGAACTCTAGACTGCTCGCACATGTTTTATGCGTCATTTGGTTCGATCGATAATTCACTGCTCTCTAATTGGTGGTATCATTACGTTATACATTAGAAGGGCACTCAGGCCACAAGTTATAACAAGAACATTAAATAAAAAAATATAAAACAAAATATTCTGAATATTCAATCATAATATTTGTTATGTAATTAGCAATGAACTCCTCCTTTAGTAATAAATTAACAGGATGAATGTTAATTCAGTTAACTTACACTTCAACACGTTCAACTTTCACACCCCAAGGATCTGTAGCTTCATCCAACATGGTCTATTTAAGATGAGATAAAAAAATAGGAAAGATAAACAATAATTCAAAAATAGCTTGCAAGATTTCCATCAGAAACGTTAACGTAAAACTGATATTATCAGGAGGGGTTTTATGGAGATTTAGCTGAAATCCTAGTGTGGGACTCCTCAGCAGTGACAGTGGCGCAATTTCGTGGATTAGTTAAAGTTAGACATTAACGTAATTAGATGCCGGCTCATTGGTCTGGTTGGTTAAGTGCCAGGCGCGAGACTGATAGGTTCTGGGTTCGAATCTCGTGGGGAGCGGGATTGTGGATGCGCACTGCCGAGGCGTCCCGTACTTGTACGAAACGGCCGTCCAGTGCTTCTAGGTTTTCCATGGTGGTCTAGCTTCAATTGACTCATGAAGTGAACTATTGAAATTAGTAAAACTGATGATAAATTACATTGATCCTACTAAATTGTGAGACAAAAAGTGAAATGAACAAACTTGTAGCAAATTTGAACATACTGTACAGATTCCCTCGATATTGCCTTAATTCACAGGCATTATAAGCAAAGGTGGATAGTGACTAGCAGTGGAATTCAAGCGTGAATATTAACTCTGAGATGCAAATACATCCAGTTGATAAGTCCTATGTAGGACGAAACGTCAGTCCTGGATTGCACCGCTAGCCACTATTCGCCTTTGCCTATAAGCAAACTGTTTTAAAAGAATTACATTAAACATTTTTCTTTTCTACCAATAGTGTTTATTTCTAGTAGACTGTATGTATTACAACCTTTTATATAATTACGTAATATATACGGTTATTTCAATAATTGAGATCATGAGTCAGTTGAAGCTAGACCATCATGGAAAACCTGGAATCACTGGATGGCTGTTTCGTCCTATTGTGGGACACTTTAGCAGTGGGCATCCACGACCTCACTTCACGGGATTCCAACCCAGTACCTCATGATCTCAACTATTGAAATAACTACAATCTCCATAAAACCCTTTCTGATATACGGTTATTTTGTAAATATATAGTCAGTTGTGATCTATGAAACTGAAATGTATCTACAATGAGACTTTACACTGTTGAAGTTGACTCAATTCACTTTATACTTCACTCTAAACTAATATGGATTTGATCATTTTTTTATACATAACCATTTGGATTATAAATTTTAAGTTTAGTAGCTACAGTGAATTATTATATTTATATTCAAGAAAATTAAATAAAAGAATTGAAGACTGCCAATTGCTTTATATAGATTCAACCATTATATCTAAAACCCTATCATTTAGCCTATCCATGAAGATTTACTTCTATGGTATATTTCATTAAATAACATTCGTTTAATAATATATATACATATAAAACTTACTTGCATCATACCAGAGATTGTATCTCGTTCGGATAAAATCTCAGATAAATTTTTTGTACCTAATACATTTCTTAAAGTAGTTGCTGCAAGAAGACGAGTTGATCGATCAGCATCTTCAACATTTGTAATTGCAACAACTGGATTATAAATACGATAATAAACAACAGCATCTACAGCAACAGTTACAGAGTCACGAGTAAGTACCTGTTAAATAAATTGAAATTAGAAATTCAAACTACTGATTAGTGTTAAGAGATTGGATAGTCCAAATGAATTAATACAAGTGTAATACAATTTTGAAAGGACTAAATTATTTATTTGTAAGCTTAATCAATCAGTCAGTTAGTCAGTTAAAATATAGGATCAGGTACATATATGCATTGATCCAAGCTGCCATACCTCATTAACACAACAAGATGAACACCGAATTCATAGAAGTACTTAATTCAGTGGTAGTAATATATAAAAGAAAGATTGCATATAAGGACATAGTACAGGAAGAAAGAATTAGGTCGTGGAAAGAAAGATATGAAGCGATTTTATTCTCATTCACCTACACCATCGTGACCGATTCTGAGCCATGTCACCAAGAGTCTCCAATAATTGATTACGATAGCGGCGTGGACACCAATTAAGTAGTCTGGATCTACCAATATGGCTAAGACTAGAAGTTAGTAATTTCAAGCACTGATACTACGTTTTGGTTTGGCCACCCCTAACTTTCTTCCAACCATCCCTAACACTAGTCATCACTGAGCGTTGTGGTAATCGGTGTTCAGGCATACGTAACATGAGACTCAACCACACCTCTAATAGCACTCAATACCACTGTATTTGTAAACCACATAATGACTTTTAAAAATGAGTTATCAGCGGGTGAATCTCATTATTTCAACATCTAATAACAACTTTATAGAGGTATGTTAAATCAATTGTAGCAATTAATGTAGGTCTTCTATGTGTGTCTAACCATTAACCCGAAATTCATGATCTAACAACTAGTACATATACATATACTTGGTAAATAATGTGAAAACATACAGTTGATCAAAAGACATAATTTAAGATAAGTAAAAGAAATGTATTCATCTTGTTTTAATGGATATAACTCTATAAATGTCATTATGCTTAATTGATTGATTGATTGATTTCAGAAATAAGCTAAAATTCTTTTTTAATAAATCAGTAGGTTTGTGGATAACGTGGCAAAAAAGGTTTTAAACAAAATGTCAATGAGTATATCAATATTGAAATGCTGATGTAGCCAACTGATGAGTCTCTAATTAAGTGAAACATGTGGGTCCTGAATTTCAATGTTAGACACAGCTTAGTTATGTTACAAATATGTAATTAGTTCCACTTAGAATGTACATAAGTGAACAGAGGCAGATCAGTTACAGTTTTTAGTAACATCAATAAATGACAATTACAAACTGTTCTTTAAATTTATGACATTGAAAGCCCTCTCAGTATAAAGTTCTGATCATCTCACACTCATATAAAAACGATTTAATCTAAGACAATATCATGAAACACTAAATAGATACAGTACAATTTATTAATGTCATTAATTTTTGTTGGAGTTTTGTTCTCTGAGCTAGATGGTTTGGTTGTGAAGCTTTCATAGTTCTTCTAAACGGCATCATCAGCACAAATTTCAGACAGAAGTGAAGTGTTCGAATTTCCCCATATGTGATTCACAGTTTATTCTGTACACCTCGATGTTGATTGGTTTTTATTAACCTTAAATTTGTCATTGTTTAACGTCAGTAAGAACCAATCAGCATCGACGTGTACAGAACAGGCTGTGAAACGCGTATGGAGAAATTCGAACACTTCACTTCTATCTGAAGTTTGTGCTGCTGATGATGTCGTTCAGAAGAACGATGAAAACTCCACAACCAAACCATCTAGCTCAGAGAACAAAACTCTAACAAAATCATCCACCTAAGCTACAAATCTTCTCCACCATCTCAATGTCATTAATGTTAAGTAATGATGACATTATAAAGTAGAAAATATAAATAAATTATTCCAATTTACAAAAATGCACGTGATATTAAAATTTAGAATTTTCAATGTTACACCTAAACATCAATCCAGTATCCGACGACGTTATTGTTTGATTACAATCAATCCATGATGTCGTGAAACCATCTTTTATAGTTTTCTGTGGGTAACTGCCTTACACCAGCTACGGTTGAATTTGATCGATGATAGCCTCTCACTAGAACTGCATAGAATTTCCACACAAAGTTAGTCACTTGTCAGCATATGATATTTTTTATTATATGGTTGTGGAGATTGTTAAAGTTTAATAACTAATTAGTTTACAATATTTATCAAGTTACTATTATTCATTACTATCGATAATATCATAATAAGGCAGTAAGTGTAAATGAACTAAAAGTTTTGATATAAGGATAACAATTATACTTTAAAAATTCTTTACAAGTTCATCAATCTTCACAAACATTATATCCTGTATGAAATACAACATCTACTTAAATATTTCTATTTCTTTCAATGATTAAGATCATGAGTCATTTGAAGCTAGACTACCATGGAAAACCTGGAAGCACGGGACGGCCGTTTCGTCCTCAGCAGTGCACATCCACGACCTCGCTCGTTGAGGGATTTGAACCTAGAACCTGCTGGTTTCGCGCGCGAGCACTTAACCACTAGAGTAGTGAGCCGGAATCCAACGATGTTAATGTCTAACTTCAACCAATCCACGAAATTGAGCCACACATCCACCATTGTCTTCAATGAGCTACTATCTCACAACAGACCTGGTTAAACTCCACTGGTCACTACTTCTATTTCTGTTTGATATGACAATGTAATGATTGATTAGAATGTTTAAATGATTTACAGAACATGTAGACTATGCTAATCATCAGTATAGAATAATAAAAGTTTATTATCATTACTTAATAACAATTAATCATTAAATCTATTATGAATTACATACAACAAGAATGAATTGTATTCAAAATATTCTTGAAGATTTAAACATACATACACACATAGAAATGTAAAACATTCATATACACACTATGAAATATCTCTATACATTATGTTATCATCTAAGATAATCTACAAAAGATCTTTTGTTGTTGTCGAGGTTATTGTTCTTGTTGTTGCTGTTGTTGTTGTTGTTGTTGTTGAGATGATGGTGGTGGTTATTGAATACAACAATGACAAATAGTTTAAACAATCCTTAATATAATCATTAAATTATTTATATAGGTTATAATTAATGAATAAGAATGTAAAGTTTGAAACATTCTGATTAAGTAAAAATGACAAAAAAAGGAGGAAAGAAAAAGAAGAGAAAAGGTAGAACAATTAAACATCCTATTTGTAGTTGAAAAAGAAAACGAAAGAAAATAAGATAAAAGAAAGAATAAAAGAGAATATTTAAAACAATTTAATTTTTTTTTTAGAAAAAAAAACATTATTTTAGGGGTTAAATTTTGCATGAACTAAACTTTTCTAAATTTTTATTGTACATCAAACAACATGAAAATATATTCAACACAATAATAATAATAATAATCATTATTACCATGGTAACAGTAATAATACTAATCATGCTGATAATAGGGATAATATTAGTAATAACAGTAATATTAATGATAATAATAGTAATAGTAATAATAATATTAGCAATATTAATAGCAATAATAATAGTAATCATAATGATATTTATAAAAATATGTCCATAAATGGCAACACATTTATTTAGTTACAAATTATTCTTGTTATATATATAGTTCTTTCGTCTAGTTTTCTTTCCTCTTTTTTTCTTCTTCTTCTTTCTCGCTTATCTCAATTTTCTTTATTATTTTTAAATGTAAATTAGAATACTGAATAAAAAGAGTATAACATATTGAAATGATAAAAAAAACAATTCATGAAAAGAGGTAAATAAAGAAAAAGAATTTGTCGATTTCTTTTTCTTTCTTTTCTTTTTTTTACTTTCGAACAATGAATCCTTAATGACAATATCATGATCAACAATCATAGAATTATATAATCATGATTAAAATGGGTTTATTTAATCTTTTTTTTAATGATCAAATCGATCAAATTGATCCAGATCAAATGAAGATTCATTTATTCATCAATAATGGATCATAGAAACGGGTGTTGTTTGTTGTTGTTTTTTAATTTTTTTTTGTATTCTTATCACTAAGCTCAACAAATTTTATTGATCAACGAGTGAATTTTCCCATTTTTACAATAAAACATTTTTATTTAATAAAATATTTTAATTAAGATTGATTCATTTAATAATAAAAAAAAAACAAAAACAAAAACAAGGATACTAAAAAACAATTAATTTATATAATTTTAAGTGATAAGGAGAGTTATTCATTTCAAGTATAGAACATAGAAGAACATTATTCTTATGAACTTTATGGAGTTCATATAGTTGTAGTGTGGCATCGAATCGCGTTTCACTATGATCACCACTACAAGAAGATTACGTGTTAGTTAACCGATAAGATCTCCCGTAAGTCAAATATCAGAAGGCAGTTGATGGCTGTAATCAAGATGTATTCGTTGGTGATCTCATGGTATTGAAAGAATACCGAGATCGTGCCAACGGAATACAAGTGTGGTTGCTGAGCGTAACCGAACTCGTACAAGGTCACAATCAATGAATAGATAATGGAGCAGTAATATGGCTGTCTTTAGCATAGTTAAACAAACGAGCACAGTAAAACAATCACTGGTACAATTGGTTATAATAATAATTGTTTCCATTATACCAATCGCGTTCTCTTGATAAAAGTAGGTCACTATATAGTCTTGGAGAAATCAGGACTTAGTGTTATGTTATCCAGATGAGGGTGAAAAAATTGTCTTTATGGATCATCTTAACTATATCTTTAATATATCTGATCCTGTCAGATTCTTAAAAAAAATTGTTCAAAAAGGTATAACTGAAAAAAAGCTGAACAGATCCGAATTAAAATCCTAAAGAAAATGAAAGATGAATCTTTTATCCATTGTGATTTTTATGAATATCTCAAACCATCAGGTTCCGTTTTACCAAGATTATATGGACTTTTAAATGTTCATGTCCTATACTTGATATGAACAACTCTCCTTATCCATTAATCGCTAAATGGTTAGTTAATATTTTACAATCTGTTAAAAATCATATCAATAAATACAGATCTCTTGATTCCTTTAAATTTGTCCATTCAATTAGAATTAAGATGCAAGGGTCGTTCAGTGCTTCCAGGTTTTCAATGGTAGTCTAACATCAATCGGTTCATGATCTCAATCCAAAAAAAATTAATAATATCCATAACCTTTAAACTGAGAATGATATAATTTTAGTTAAATATTCAGTTGGTTAGTTAAATGAAAACAACTACCTATAACTAATCAAATAATCTAAAATTAATAGTTGAATTTATAAATCAATTGAAGCATTGGATGGCCATTTCATCCTATTGTGGGACTCTTTAACAATGCGTATCCATGATCCTATCCCATGGGATTTTGAATGCAGGATTGATTGGTCTTGCATGTGAACGCTTAAACATTAGACCATCAAGTTGGCATCCAATGATGTTAATGTTTAACTTCAAGTAATTCACAAAATCGACCCAACGTCTACCATTATCTTCGGTGAGTTACATATATCATAACACATACGGTTGTCCAGTGCTTCCAGGTTATCAATTATGGTCTAGATTCAATTGACTCATGAACTCAACTATTAAAGTAATAATGTTAACTCTTTGATGTCAAGAGTATTGATATATCCCTAAAACATTTGATGAAAATTCATTAACTATGGAAGTAAGCATCAAAACAATAAAGACAAGTTACTATAAAATCAGTTTCTACTATAAAAAGTCATTTAGTGGAATACGTTTTTGATAAGTTTTGTCGATTGAACGCTATATTCGTTTTCCTAAGTTATTCTGGTAACCCGCGAGCTATTACAAACAGCGTCTTGAACACCAAAGACAATACGAAAAGTATGAGAAAAATACTTTACTCCAAGGTTCGTTTTTGTACAGAAAGCATGGGTATTTAAAGATGTTACCGTTTGTTAAATCAACATCATATTTCAGCCAATCCGTTAACGACATATTATGCTACTGACTAATAGTGGCACGCCACGTTGGAATTCTAGAATGCTCCACCATGCTCTGATTGGCTAGGAATCTTCGGCTCCTTTTTGGGCTTCTGGAGGCTCCGTTGAAGTTCTCCGAAAGTCGACTCAACAGTTTTGTTCATTGAAGAATGTAAATATCGGTATTGTATTGGTTGATATTTCATCTATACAACACTGACAACTGAAATAGTCTACGAATGAAACTGAACTCTTTAATCTTGACTGTCAGATAAATATTTTCAGTTTAGGGGTTGTAGAGATTGTTAAGTTTTTGATTGAAACCATGAGTCAATTGAAACTAGACCACCATAGAAAACCTGGAAGCACTGGACGACCGTTTCGTTCTATTATGGCACTTCTCAGCAGTGTGCATCCATGATCCCGCACCCCGCAAGATATTACATGCACTTAGGAATAATTACCAAATCTAGTAATCATATAGTAGAAAAGATTTATAATATGTACACTTTCATAAATTTATAAACCATATCGTTTAACTGGAGGAAAATGAAATGGGCTATCAAAATCTTACAAACATTGACTACGGTAGGTTCTGAATGTTTTCTTATTGAGTAGTTTCAAACTGGACCGAAATAGATATCATCGTTGTGTTTTCACTATGAAGTTGTGCTGATTACTGAATTTTTAGGAGACATTTACTAGGACGAAGTAGTCGTCTAGTGCTATCAGATCTTTAATAATGGTCCAACTTACATCAGTATATGGTTTTGTTTATTCAACTGAACAAAATATATAAAGTAAAAAACAAATGAAAAATGGATCATTAAAATTGAGTAATTTAAAATGTAAAACATAAATAAATCTCACTTCTTGTGGTGGAACATCAAATGTTACTGTTCTTAAATCCACTTTACGCATACGATCCATACATGGTACAACAAAAAATAAACCTGGACCTTTAGCACCACCAGGAAGTATTCGACCCAAACGAAATATAACGGCTCGTTCATATTCAGCAATAACCTGAATTATAAATTGAATTAAGATAATTAGATATCAATCAAAGATAAGGAATAAGTATCTTTATTTTTAAATTTTGAGGATGTTAGATCCCGAGAACTCACTTGAAAAAGGATTTAAGTTTGTAATTTTATTTAGAAAATTTGAATTTCTTTATTTTCGCACCAAAAGCCTTCTTGTCATCTTCATGTCGTATTTTCCACTTGGGAAATATCTTGAATGCTATTGGTCCGTTGCGTCTTTTAGTATGCTGTTTACTAACTCTCTCTAAGGACGGTTTTGTGCTGTATATATATAAACATTTTAATTTGTTTGTTGTTATCGCTGGTTCCTGGCAGTTTGCAGAATATACTTCCCCATTCCAAGCTTCGACTTCTTCCGTTAGTTAGCGGGGCTTGGACGCATCAACTAGCTAGCTTATTGGTTTTTGGTCACGGAGTCTTTGTTCCGTTCGCAGTGTAAGTGAACTCGTAACCGCTTCAAATCTAGCATATTTTCAGTAATCTAATATTTTTATAAACACTTATTTTGATTCCGTTCATATTGATTAAATAATAAATGATGATAAAATGTTATGGTTGTTTAGCATAAGATACTGATCAAATGTTCTAAAAGAACTAGCTGTTTATTAAAAATGGAATAATTCAATACTATGCGAAAATATATGAATAACAATTGAACTATAATAAGAACTATTCGCTTTTATCATATAAACAAACTATGATTAGATAACTAGGAAATATTAGATAACTATTGTTTTTGTATAGAATTAAGTATTCACGAGTTTACTTTGTATCTAGCCTTAGATCTTCAAGTTATTAGACATGAAAACCATTTTGAAATTGAATTGAATTGATCATAAAAGAAAACAAAATGTAATTATCATTTAATAACATTGTTTCACAATAGAATATAATGTTTAACATAATAAATGAGTTTAGAAAATTAGTGTCAATATGACATTAAAAAGACATCTTGTTATATTTAAAATAAAATTTATGGAAACTTTTCTACAATATACTTCCCCTCATGATAATCATGAGCACTGCTGAGCAGTTCCATGCTAGTTACAGGAAAGCCGTTCAACGCTTCCATGTTATTTATGCTGGTCTACCTTCAATTGATCTCAAATATTGAAATCATAAATTTGTTGAGTAACCCATTTTTGATAAAAAAAAAAATCGGTTACTTCAATCAAATATGAACTACTGTTCAACTGTATGTAGGAAGATTGTTTAAATTTCAATGAAATGAATCATAAGACATTGAAATCTTAATTGTACTATCAATTATAAATATTTTATATAGGTACTTCACGTTATGTTGTTAACAACAGAACTTGAAACTATTTTGTGAAACATGATGCTTTAGCGCTTAAGGCTTGAAGGATATTTGTTCAGCTATCTTGTCTGTTGTACGGCATAGACATATACAAAGTTATCGTTTTTTTCTTATCATCAGTAAATGAAATCAAGAGTTGACATTTTTGAGTCTCTTCTGATTAATTGAAAATTATTCGTTTTCTTATTCATACATAAAACTAACTGGACTTCATAAGCAAAGAGGGATAGTGGCTAGTAGTGGAATTCAGTACATGTGTTTCGTCCTATTTGGGACTCGTCATCTGAACGTACCTGTATCTTAGAGTTCATGTTCACTATGGGACTTGAACGTAGTACCGTTCACTTCAAACGGCGTCACCTTATCCACTTAGTCACTGAATCCTGATAACCACTTCTTTGTGTAATGGGATTAAGTTTGAATTTACCTCGTATTGTTTACGTGACTTTAGTTTATCCGGCGAACAATCAAAATTATGCACAAAGGAGAATTAGAACCTTTTTATAAATATCATCAGTGGTAACCATAGTGTGTATAAAAACAAGAAAACACTGAATATCTATTTTGTTTTGATTTGAAACTCTTGAGAATAAGACACACAGATCACGTTAAATGAATCAAACAACCTGGCAGGAAATTCATAATCTCACTTACGAATAACATAAATAAATTAAACCTAGAATATCTTTACTCAATTAATAATATTATCATATAGATATATATATGTAGACGATGACTTACCCGAGTAGTAAAGCATAATGAAAGGGGAAATGTTACAATTACCAACAAGTAGGATAACCCTAATAGAATAAAACCAAAACAGCCCAAATCTCCAGTAGCATCTGATAGAACTAAATAAATAAAGAAATATGTAAACAAACAAACAACAATATTGATAATAAAAGTCACTAACAGAAACAAAAACAAAACAAAAAAAAAAGAGAAAATCATTTGATTGATCAACAAGTTAGTGAATGTTCCATTTAGTTTAAACCTATCTAGATCAACTGTATAAAGAAAAGAATAATAAGATATGAAATAGGCCATTGAAGATATATATCATTGTTCAATTCTTTGTTTTAAATAAAAAAATATTGCCGCAAAATATAAATTTATTTTAAATAGATCAGATTAAGATATAAAACTATTCAATCAAGATATATATAGATATATGTATATTTGATGTAATGAAGTTCATAAAAAAGGTCATAGATACAATCCCTATTACATCATTTATAAACAACTCTTATAGTTTAATGTTTCTCAATGCCAATCAATCAGTCAGTCAGTCGGCTACAATGTAGGATTAGGTACATATATATGCATCGGTTTAGGTTGTCATACTTCATTAGCATAGCAAGACGAACACCAAATTTATAGAATTAGATAATTCAATGATGGTAATACATAAAAGAAAGATAGTATATAAGGGACATCAATCAATCACTCAGTAATAACGTACAACGTCGTACGTACATACATTATTTCGAGTTGCCATACCACATTAGCACATAGATACACTTTTCGATTCAAATCCCATAGTGGTAAATATAGTAAGAGTATTAACAGTAATCCGAAACATTCGAGTTTGGAAATGTTATTTAGGGAGTATAATACAGTGAAATAAATTTGGAAAGAGAAAAATAAGGGACACGAAGAATTAAAAAGTTTAGAATTTGGGAGAACACAAAATGTTGATGCACCTACACCATTGCAAACCATTTTGAGCCAGATCATTCAGGGTCTCTAACCATCGGTTGCTATCGTCTCGCCGATTCCAACCAAGTAGTCTGCATCTACTAACATGGCTAAGACTAGAAGTTAGTGACTTCACGCACTGATACCACGTTTTGGTTTGGCCGCCTCTAACTTTCAACCATCCCCGACACTTTTAAGTATTGCGCGTCGTGTTTATCGGTGTTCAGGCATACGTAACGTGTGGACCAACCATCTCAGTCTATGAAGATTCACAAACTCATCAATTGATTCACCATCATTCCCTAATACTTTGAGTCTACTCTCACTATTACTTACCCGGCGATCCCAGCAGATGCTAGCAATATTTCTAACAGCCCAAAAGACCACTGTTTCTCAATATTATTTCTATGAAAATTATGTTCATAGAAGTGAATATGCATGATATGGAGTTACGGTTAATTGTTGATACAAATGAACAATTGTGATAACTATATGCATTTAGTTATGGATACAATGTAAAAGACTATAATGTTACAAATGTAAAACTGAAGAAAATGACAAAAATTACAACATTCTTGAACGATTCATTTGGTATCGTTTTGCTTGTATCTCCTCTTTGAGGTTTAAGACTGCAATTGATCAGTATGTTATTGGCATATGTGCTTAATGTGCGTATGCTTCGATATTGCCTTAATTCACAAGCTTTTATAAGCAGGTAGATCCAGCTGACGAATCCCAAATAGGACGAAACGCGCGACCTGGATTCCACTGCTAGCCACTATCCATCTTTGCTTATAAAATCCTTGAACTACGTTTTTTTAGTTTGGGGGAACAATCTACCCTTTTTTATTATATTATTCAATATAGTTATGTTACAAACGTTGTAAATATTTGAATATCTACTATTATTGTATTTTACAAATAAATATAATCATTGAATCAAAGTAAATATTCTCTATACACAGTCAGTCACTCAATCAGTAACAACGTGGAACTTCGTAGGTACATACATCAGTTCGAGTTGTTATACGACATTTGCACAGAGATGCAGTTGTCAATTCAAATCTCGTAGTGGTAGAGGTGGTAAGAGTATAAGCAGTAATCAGAAAGGTTTGAAAATGTTATTCACGTGTTATAAACATAGTTCAGTTATATATGTTAATCTTAAATCATCATCATTAGTAATATTTCATTAACTTGACACTACAATTCAAACATGAAGGTAACCCATTTCTCTCTATCAGTTTCAGTCATTATATTGAAATACTATATTAACTTTGTTCTCAATTTATAATTTTCTTATAAAGAACTAATGATAAAAGGATACTTTTTAAAATAATAAAATTTAATTGGAAACATCTTTAAACATATAACAGTTGAAATTATAAGTCGATTGAAGATCGTAGATGAGCACTGCTGTGGAGTACTATACTAGAACGAAACGATCGTCCATTGACTCATGAACTCAACTATTAAAATGACTATAACATCCACAAAAAACCCTTATCTGATACTAAATAATATTTATTATTAATAGAAGAATTATATTTAAAGTATCAAATTGTCAATCATATTGTTAAAATTGATTATGATATAATTACGTAATACCATTAATCTAATAAGAATGATAATACTTCAAATTATTTCATCCATGAAAGTAACTCCGTAGAAAAAGGAAATTTACGATAGATATTTATATAATGATTATCTATCATTTACAAAAATGTTACATTTTCAATACTTTGTACATGTTGGGCGTTCACGCGCGAGACTGAAGGCCCTGGGTTGAAATCCCGCTAGCGCGATCGTGGATGGGCACTGTTGAGAAATCCTGCAGTAAGATGAAACGGCCGTCTAATGCTTCCAGGTTTTCAATGGTGGTTTAACATCTCAATCGGCTCATGATTTCCATCAAAAACATAATATGTGTTATACGGTAAAAAAATTTAACAAGTTGTTTTCTTCACTATAAAATCTATATGGAAACATTTTGAGTACTGGGTAATTCTAAAAGAATGAAATTTAAAGTAGTCTCCAAATCGAATGGATTATTGGTTTTTTTCAACTTATAACATTGATATACTTACTTTATTGTAAATAGATTTGAAGTTGTTTTTCTTACAATGTTTATGTAAAGTCCATTCAGTTATACGTTGATTCTTAGTTTTGCTATGATCTTAAAATTGATTAAACTATTATCATTTATTCTTTTCTCAAATGTTGTTGATTCAATACTTAACTGATTAGTTCCATCAGTATCCTCTATTCTAGGTCAATAATTTGGAAGATTTATTAGTAAACGAAAGATAGACTTGTCCATAGGAACTCGGCTTTCATCTATGGACAAGTTTAGATCTAGACTTTGCAGATGATCTGGATTTTTTATCACACACACAACAATAAATCCAGGAGAAGACGACCAGGGTGGCGACAGCCACAGCAGCACTAGGTCTCAACATACACAAAGCGAATGGCAAGATTCTCCGACGCAGCACAGCATGCAACAATCAAATCACACTTCACGAAGGAGATTTGGAAGATGTAAAAACCTTTACATATTTGGGCAGCATCACTGATGAACACGATGGATGTGATGCACATGTAGAGGCACTAATGTCAAGACAGTTCTGCTGTATGAGGCGGAAATTTGAAGAACTACAAAAGCCATCATCCAGAACATACAGGTGTTCATTAACAGTTATTAACACAATATACTTCGGATCCGTTGGCCGGACACTATCAACAACAACCTACTGCAAAAGAGAACAAACCAGATTGTAGTGGAGGAAGAAAACAGGAATAAGTGATGGAAGTGGATAAGACACATATTGAGGAAAGCATCGAACGGCATCACAAGACAAGCCCTCACTTGGATTCCTCAACTTCAAAGGAGAAGTGGAAAACCAAGGAACACATTACGCCGAAAAATGGAGACAGGCATGAGAAGAAGAAGATTGGATAGAACTAGAAAGGAAGACCCAGGACAGGGTGGGTTGGAGAATGCTAGTTGGCGGCCTCTGCTCCATTGGGAGTAACAGGCGTAAGTAAGTAAGTAAGTAAGACTTGTCCATTCCGGTAGCGGTTAGTGAAATGGACTCCAATATTGTGGTGAATACCAGTTCCATTGAAATTTCAAGACAAACTTTCTAGACAGATACCAACTAGGAAAGCGAGTCAGTTCAGAACGTTCGATCAACTTTGATCACCTAACATTAAATAAGATTATGCCACCTAACAATGAGACTATGTTTTAATAGAAAATTCGTATAGTATAACACTTGACTTATAAGAATTTACACAATATAATGTTGTAATCCTTCATTCTATAATAAAAATTACTTAAACTGATTTCCTAAAACTTGATCTTTTTATGGTATAATCCCCGAAACGAGGACGAAATAATTGTCTAGTATCATCTGGTTCCCAATAGTTGTATAAAGTAGTTCCGTAATATAAACCAAAAAGAAAAAAATAGTTGAGACAGTTTTTGTTATGAACCAGTTGAAGTTAATGAAACAATAGAAACGAGAAAGGCAAAGGATAGACATATTAGCTTAGATTAGGACCCCTGTCCACTAATGAAATAGGATGAATACAAGCATTAAAAAAAAAACCATTAAACAGGATATAACACTAACCAAAATCTTCATTGATATGAAACATTAAAATGAATTACAAAAACAATTTGTTGCTATGCTTCTTTTGTCAACTATAATCATTATTATTGTGAAAATTTTTTTTAGATATTAACAATAATTCCTAAGAGGATAGATTTCTTATTTATTTAACTAAACCTGTTTCCAAAATAGCCAAAACAGTACTCTTACCCTAAGTAATATATCACTCCTCCAATCAGAACTAAATCAGAACCTGGATATTTATTTTTATTGTGATTGTTCTCTACTATAGATTGAATCAAATTTAAAGGTAACCATTTGACCATATTTTTCTCAAGGCTTTATTTCAATAATGTAAAGTAACAACATTCTTGTAAGAATAAGACATAATAAACCGTTTACCTTCTAATAGGTATCAATTAAATTTTTTTTTTCGGTTGTTCATTCATCTTTATTGAAAAGTTAACGTAATATAGAAGTAGTACAAATTATTATTTACATATACATCAGTATAGGATTGTGGAGATTGTTAAGTT